TGAGAATAAAGTTGCAACATTACCAGAATAAAGTCGTAATATTATGAGAATAAAGTTGCAACATTACCAGAATAAAGTCGTAATATTACGAGAATAAAGTCGCAACATTACCAGAATAAAGTCGCAACATTACCAGAATAAAGTTGCAACATTACCAGAATAAAGTTGCAACATTACCAGAATAAAGTCGTAATATTACGAGAATAAAGTCGCAACATTACCAGAATAAAGTCGCAACATTACCAGAATATTGTTGCAACATTACCAGAATAAAGTCGTAATATTACGAGAAAAAAGTCGCAACTTTATCAGAGTAAAGTCGTAATATTATGAGAATAAAGTCTCAGTGGTAGAGTGGTTAGGAATCCAGAGGTTGGAGCTCCACAGCCACTCTGGGTCCCTGAGTCAGACCCTTAACCCCACGCTGCTCCCTGGGCGCCGCACAGTGGCAGCCCTCTGCTCCCCAGGGGGAGGGGCTAAATGCAGAGGGTTCATTTCATTGCTCTGTGCTGCTGACGGTGGAATGACAATAAATCGCTGAGAAGGGGAAATATTACAAGAACAAAGTCGCAACATTTATACTCGTATTATTCCAACTTTATTATGTAAAAACGATATTCTCAATGTTACAACTTTACACTCATGATATTATGACTTTATTCTCAATATATTACGACTTTATTCTCTTACTTAAAAAAAGGAGAATCTCTAGCCTGGCGCGTATAATCTGTCGTAATCTGTTAGACCATAAAATCTGTAACAAAAAATAAAGTAAATTTGATCAAAGTAATTAATGAAAAATAACTTTTTAATATTACATTTTTTTTGTTTTTGAAGCTTAACTGAGAAGCAAATGGCAGTTACCCCCCAAAACTTTTTTCTTTTCATCTTTTAGTGAGAAGTTTTTCAAAGTTTCATTTCTGGATTCATTTTCTTTTCTTTTATTTTCATATTATACACAATTATTTATTATTGCTAATATTATGATGCTATTATTTCAAAAATACCGTAACTCCTCTAATATTGGCCTGTATCCCATTAGCGGCCGGGTCTCTAATAATGGCTGGACTCGTTTACAGGCCGGGGTTATAATTAGAACCAACGATGTTCCTGGACAGTCCTCAACAACCTGTGATAGTAACACACGAGTACCACAGGGGGGCAGTGTTTGCTAACGAATCCAAGCCATTAGCATGGGAAGTCCCATCCTAGTGACCTTACACAATCGTTCTGATCTGAAAGCCACATGTGATCACCGGTAGGTCTGGTAACCAGGCAGCGTTAAAATGACAGAATTTAATTGGCCTTCATTGTTCTGAATTTCCCTTGAAATATACGATACTGCTAGCCTGCTACCACTTAGCCTGCCTTAAATAACATTTCACTGTGATGGCAGAACAGTTTCCATTCATTTTTTTTTAAAACTTTGTTTCACAAATCAGTTTCGCCAATATTCCAGATTTCAAAATTGCAGCTGCTGGAAGATGTCTGAATAATGTTCTGTATATCGCTATGGTAACTGTACTTTTTCAATAAATGAAGCTAGTATTTTATAGCTTCAAAGAGACACAATCTGTTTTTTTATTCCTTCCACTGGTCGTCTGTTGGATCAAATAGAAATAGAGGCCTGCCTCTAATTCTGGCCTCCTTCCAATAATGGCCTGGACCAAGATGCACCTGAGTGAAATAAAGGCCCTTCCTATATTAGAGGATTTACGGTAGTAGAAGATTCAGCGCTTATGTTTTGTTAAACTGAAAGTTCAAAACTTTCAATAAATTTCATCAATAAATTTGATTGAATTTTGAAAACAAAGTTTGTTAGATTTAGTAGGAGTAGGGTTGATCTTTGACCTCTGAAAGATTTCATTAATATCTTTAAAAATAAAGTCCTAACTTTCTGCACAATCGTTTGACAACAGTTTAGTTATTTCGGGGCGGGGCCGACCTCCCTGCTGACCCGGTCCAAGTCTGTTTTACCAATGAAGCTCCTACAGAACCAGATTGGACCGGTCTCGCTGTCCGTGTCCTCCACAGGGTGTCTCGCTCCGAGGTTCCCAGAACCCTCCCCTCCAGCGCCGCCGTCCCAACTTCATCTGCCTACGACAAGGACACGCTGGTCTGCGACGGGTCCGAGTTCTGCTTTGAAGAGGTCCGAGCGGCAAAATACTTCCTAAAGGTCCGGCAGCAGAGGGAGAAGGAGCAGAGGGAGCAGAGGGAGAAGGAGCAGAGGGAGAAGGAGCAGAGAGAAAGCAGTAAGCTAGCTCCCTCATGGCAGAGACCCGGCCCGGTCCGATGCTTTCAGCTCACCTTCTCTGCTCTCCTTTCAGTGGAGAGGAGGCTGCAGGAGGAGGAGGAGGAGGCGGCCCAGAGGCTGAATCCCGCGTTGGACCGAGTCAACCAGGACCTGGAGGCTCGATTAGGACTCCCCAGCTGGTTTGTGGCCCAGCAGGCCCAGTCCTCTGCTGCTGCTCGCCCCCCTCCTTCAGAACCGGGCGGCCGGCGGCCCCTGGTTCTGGGAGCGGACCCCGGGCCCTGCTCCGCCCAGCAGCTCCACAGCGGCGAGCCTGGCGCCTTGTGTCTGTGAGTATCAGCATTTAATCCTGATCCCGTCTCCAGACGCCCTGTTAGTCCACGTCTGGATCTCCTTCCAACCTTCAGAGGTCAGGATGTTGCTAGGAAACCAGAGGATAAACAGATGTTCTAGAGGCTCGGTTACCGTGGTAACGAGCCTCCAGAACCTAGCAAATGGTTACAGGAGCCCTGGTCAGGAACTCTCCTAGGTTAACCCCCCCCTGCCGCCATCTTATTGTCTTGGCTCCTCCCACCAGGAGCAGCAGTCTGGTTCCGGAGCCGGAGGACAAACTGGACGGTGAGTCCGGCTGTTGGTTTCAGGCCCGGTTCTCTGCACCGCCCTCCTGGACCTTCTCTAACCTCCTCTTCTCCTCCCAGGGTCCTGTGGAGGAGCCGCTAACCTCTCCCACATCACCCCTAACTCCTCCCTAGGCTATGTTCAGGCCACGCCCACCAGGGTTCTGCCGTCGCCCACCGTTAACACCCAGGAGGCCCTAGGTGAGTTCTGCCTGCTCCGTGCGGGCGGTCCGGTTCTGTCCGGGTTCTGGTGGTGATGCTTCCTGGTTGTCTTCCTCAGACGCCATCATGGACATGTTCCAGGCTCCCACCCTCCTGGACGGCCCGTTCCAGGAAGCCTCCATGCTCCACGGCGCCGCTGAGACCCACCTGGAACCGTGCGGTAAACACGCTGCAGACGGCGTTCCGCTCAGAACCGAGTCCGCCAGAGTTTCTGATCCGCTTTCTGTTTTACAGCCGTCTCCTCGGTACCGAACCCCCCCGCCCACGCCTCCACCCCGTTCACCATCTTCCAGGACGAGGAGGACGCCAGGTAAAGCGGGACGATCCTTTCTGGGCCTAACTGAGGTCCTGGATCAGAACCTTCTGACCCAAACGGTTCTGTGTCTCCTTCAGCGCCGCAGCGCCGCCTGAGAAGTCCAAACCCGTCAACGTTTTGGTCGACCTCGGCGCCCCCAAAGCAGACCGGCCCAATGTGAGTAGAAAGCCTCGGCGGTTCTGATGGTTCTGATGGTTGTGCTCTGTGGTCTGACCCGGTGCCGTCCCCCAGGAGACCCCGTCAGAACTGGTCCCGGATGAGAGCACCACCTGGGGGGCCCGCTACAACTCGCTGCGGCAGCTGGACGCCTGTCCCAACAGCACCAGCGACTTCGCCCTGCTGGCCCAGTGTGTCTCCACGCCCTTCACACACAAGAGTCTGTTCAGCAGCAGCTTCCAGACCCAAGGTACCGACCCGACCCGACCCGCCGGTCCTCGGCAGCAGAACCGCCCACCCCGGTTCTGACGGCTGGTTCTGTTTGTTTCCTGCAGAGAACAGCGGCTCCGCTGAGGAGAACTTCTACCTCCGACGTCAGACCAAAAAGCTCAGGTGATTCTTGGTTCTGCTCCTCCAGCTTTCGGGTCTAAAGATTCGGTTCTGAGCTCAGAACCCTGCGGACCTCAATGACTCACCGGGGAAACCGGTTCTGGTTCTGGTTCTGGGGGAGGAGCTAACGGCAGGTTCTGTTTTCTCTCAGCCCCATCATAGAGCAAAGTCCGAGTGCCGACCCGGCCGACGCCAAGCCGCTGCCCCCCTCCTCCTCCAGACAGGGAACCATCATGGCCGACGGCTCCGCCTCCTCGTCCCTCAGCATAATGCAGCCTCCTGCCGTGCTTTCCTTCAGGGACCAGACGTCCTGCCCAGCCCAGTCGGACGGTTCCGGATGGGAGGTGTACCCCAGCCCTGAGCGGCGCCCTGAACCTGCCTCTCAGAGCCGGTCCTTTAAGATCCTGGAAGACCCGGAGCCGGTCAGTCCAGAACCGGTCCGGAACCGACCCTTTGACGTCCCCATGAGCCCAGAGTCCGCTCCCAGTGCCGCCTGGCTGGACATCAGGAGTCCTGAACCCGCGGCCGAGCCGGACCTGGACGCCTTCCTGAGCCCCCGTCCTCCCGTCCCAGCCGAACCCAGAACCCGGGATGTTCCCATGAGTCCGGAACCTCCGACCAGCTGTGCCGACGCCCCCCTGAGCCCGCGGGGGCCTGGAGTCCAGGACGAACCCAGAACCCGGGATGTTCCCATGAGTCCGACCAGCTGTGCCGACGCCCCCCTGAGCCCGCGGGGGCCTGGAGTTCTGGACGAACCCAGAACCCGGGACGTTCCCATGAGTCCGGAACCTCCGACCAGCTGTGCCGACGCCCCCCTGAGCCCGCGGGGGCCTGGAGTCCAGGACGAACCCAGAACCCGGGACGTTCCCATGAGTCCGGAACCTCCGACCAGCTGTGCCGACGCCCCCCTGAGCCCGCGGGGACCTGGAGTCCGGGACGAACCCATGCTGAGTCCCGACAGGGGGCGAGGCGCCCAGGTCCGGCCCGTGTCCGATCCCTGGGATTCAGAACTGATCTTGGACCTGCTGGGCGGGCTGAACCCGCCTCTGACCTCTCACCCCCGCTGCATCAGCTGGCCCTGCAGGGTCCCCGCCATCGGACCCAAGATGACCCTCAGCGTGGGTAAGAACCCTCGCAGCTTCCTGTTTTCAGCTAAAGTTCCGATTTCAGAACCAGGAAAACCCTCCAGCGTCAGTCAGTCCCACTCCTGGTATAGAAAAGGTCCAAGCCGCCATCTTGGAGAGGTCGCCGCCTCCGCTCAGTGTGTCTCGTTAGCCAGACCATAATAACTCATGTTCTAATTCGAGCTTCTTCCTCCACTTAGTGATAGAAACGTTATAGTTTATTAACAAACTAAATAAATTCTTAATGATGGCGGCAGCAGCAATTCCTCCCCCTGATAACGGGATCTCAGGGAATTGCTGCTGATGGATCAGAACGCACTAAAGTATCTACCGCTTCTCGCCTGAACACACCTCCTTCATTCAGGCACGGTGTTGGCAGCATGATGTGGAGAACCTCCCTGAACATCCAGGTTCATAGGTTAGCATGGCCTAGTGGCCTAGTCAAAGTCCAGAGCTTCTGAGAAGATGTGGAAAGAGACGAGCTGAAGATGTTGATAAATACCTGCACCCAGGTGAGGGAACGAAGCTAGAGGCTCTCCACACCTTTCAGTTCCTTCCGTCGAGCCGATCAGAAGGTTCGGGGGAGGGAAGTGACGCCGGCGCTCCTTGGCGCGGCGGCCCGGTTGGAGCGGAGCGCTGAGGGAAGGAAGCCATCATGTTCTGGATCAGCTGGGTTCCTCACAGCGTTCTCCTCTTCCTGCAGGGAACTCCTCCCTCAGGGTGGACGGCGTCCTCGGGAAGGGAGCCTTCGCCACGGTCTACCAAGCCACGGACCCCCGGACCTCAGAGAAAGTGGTGTTAAAGGTGAGCTGGACCAGAACCGGCTGCTCTGGTTTCTTCTTTTCTATCATCGTCTGAAGCTCTGCTGCTTCGCCATCAGCGCCGTTAAACGTGGCGAATTAGAAATGGAGGATTCTGGTGGAGGTTCTCAGTCATCCAGGTCAGAGTTAAACCTAAAAAGTTAAAATCAATCCTCTGGACTTTGTTTCCAAGTTTGAAGACGTTTCTCTTCCATCCAGGAAGATTTTTCCATCCAAAATGTCAGAAATAGCGTTTAGTTCCAGGTTTTATAGAACAGACCAACAAAGTATAAAATAACGTGCTGAGGATGTTTAAGTCAGAGCTGTTTCTATCCTTCTGAGGACCAGAAAGGCCTCAGTTTCCACATGAATAAAGTTTCTCTCCAGCTCAGCCAGGCCAACAATTCCCCTTAACGATCACCTTATCAGAGGCATAGACCAGTATCGGGTACTGGAGGCCAATAACGACCTGAATGACTCCCATTATTAAGGGGTGGAGCTGGTTTCCAGTATCAATCTGCATGTTTTCTAAGTCATTACAGGCTGTGTTGGTCTATTCCAGGGTTCTGCAACCTTTCATATCCAAAGAGCCGTTTCGCCCCACGGATCCAACCAAGTAAAAGTTTTTTTTTTTTTTTTTTTTTCATTATCTCGTGTAGGAAATTAGTTGCCGTCTTAAACAAAACAATTTATGTATTTTTAGCTTTTCAAATAGCATAAAACCACATAAATTTCAAGCTAATTAAAAGAAAGATGGACTCTAAAAACATATTTCTGGTTCTTTTAAAATCCTTCTTATCCATCTTATAAAAACCACTAAAGCTTTTAAGACCGGTATTTATCTCATAGTACATTATTTAGCTCTTTATATAGATTTTAGCCACTATTAGCGGCTGTAGAGGGTTTAAGAGCCGCAGGCTGCAGACCTCTGGTCTATTCTATAAAACCTGGAACTCAACATTATTTCTGACGCCATGGAATGGAATGGAAGCGTTGGATGGAGGAGAAACGTCTTCAACCTTGGAAACAAAGTCCAGTGGATTGATTTTGGACTTATTAGAGTATATATATTTCAGTGTTTTTATTGTCATTCCACTGTCACCAGTACAGAGGCTGTGGGATTGGGGCCCCTCCCTCACCCAGTAGATCTGGTGGCCAAATTTCACATATTTGAATCTAAAACCTTAAAGAACTTCCAGGTATTCCTTCAATCAGGCACCTACAGTGAGTCTGATGGGATTTGAACGCGCAACCTTCTGACCTGGATTCAGACGCGCTGCCGTTACGCCGCTGATTCTTTCAGAACCTCAGAAAGTTGATCTTGATCCGTGAATCCGGGCCGCGTTCCAGGAACCAGTAGAACCAGTGGGACCCGCTGACATGTGGTTCTGCCTGCAGGTCCAGAAACCGTCCAATCCCTGGGAGTTTTACATCAACAGCTGCCTGGACGCGCGGCTGCAGCCCGCCGTCCGCCACCTGTTCAGCAGGATCCACTCTGCTCACCTCTTCCAGGACGGCAGCATGATGCTGGGGGAGCTGCACCAGTACGGCACCCTGCTGGTCAGTCTGCCCAGTTCGCCCACCCGTTTCCACGGCGACGGCTGCCGCTGGTCTGACCGCCTCTGCTTGCTCCTTCCAGAACGCCGTGAACATCTACAGAACCATGAGTGAGAAGGTCATGCCTCAGCCCCTGGTGCTGTACTTCAGCGTCTGCATCCTGCACACGGTGGAGAAGCTGCACGCCGCGGGCATCATCCACGCCGACATCAAGCCCGACAACTTCATGCTGGGAAAGAGGTGGGGCGCCGCGGCGTCTACTGGGCCGCCCGGGGGTCGGTCTGTAACGGGATGAACGCCGTCTCTTTCTGTCCCTCCAGGTTCCTGGACAGCAGCTGCTTCGACGCGGACGGCGTGGACCACGGCCTCGTCCTCATCGACCTCGGCCAGAGCATCGACATGCAGCTGTTCCCGGAAGGCACGGCGTTCACCGCGCGGTGTCTGACATCAGGCTTCCAGTGCACCGAGATGCTCAGCGGGAAACCGTGGACCTACCAGGTAACCGGCGCCGCCTGCTCGTCGCCATGGCGATCAGAGGACCTGAAAGCTGCAGGTCTCAGCAGGCTCCTCTGTGCCTCCATGTTTCCAGACGGATTACTTCGGCGTGGCGGGGACGGTCTACTGCATGCTGTTCGGGAGCTACATGCAGGTCAGCCATGATGGCGGCGTGTGGAAGACCAACGCCGTCTTTAGAAGGTAGGTCCCGGAACCTGGGGGTCCGGCCCTGGTTCCTCACCCGCAGCCCACTGACGTCTCCTCCTCTCTGCAGGAACCCGCACAGCGACCTGTGGCTGGACTTCTTCCACACGCTGCTGAACGTGGCGGACTGCGCCCCCCTGCCCAGCCTGCGGGCGCTGCGCTGCAGGATGGCGTCCGCGCTGCAGCAGAACTACGGCAGCAAGCTGCAGATGCTGAAGAACCGGCTGGTGGTGAAGCTGCTGGAGGAGGCGCGCAGATAACCGCTGCGGCGCTACTTCCTGTCTGGACCCATTGATCCTGAAACCATCACAGCTCCAACTGGGAGACTCTCCTGGTTTTTATTCTTCCATTTATTTTACACCTGTTACATTTTTCTCCTGTTCGTAATAAAGTCTGACGCTGTGGATCGAGCTCAACGTTTCTAATTAAACTCGTCTGACGGAACACGGCATCAATCAGGCCGCAGCAGGGATGGTTTCCTGTTGCCATGGTATCCGATGTTCAAGCTTTAAACTCTGCAGGAATCTAACGTCCAGATTCGCCATCCTCCCTCGCCGCCCCGCCCACCTACGTCGTACGGAGGACTTGTGCATCAGGTTAATCAATGAGAGCTCCTCCTCCTCCTCCTTCTCCTCCTCCTCCTCCTCCACGCCACCGTCTGCAGACGTCTCCTCCTGCCTTCATCCTCAGAATATGCTTCGTATTCACAGCTTTCAGCTTATTTCCATCCATAAAGTTCAGCAGTGATCAAATCTAAACGGCGGGAGAAAAAACATGGAGGATAAAACGCTTTGATCTGGAAGTTCAGAGCTTTGATGTCTATGGAGAAAATCTGCAGTATTGGTTTCATCAGCGTGATGCAGAGTCTGGGTCAGGATTTAGGTCGAGTTTAACCAATTAAAAACCATCAACCAGTAAAGATCCAGTTTTAATAATTATCTGTTACTTTAAACAGAATTTAACTCTGAAATAAAATAATCCATGATATACATTGAATTTTTAAAGAAAAAAATATATTAAAAAAAAGAATAAAACATGTTTCCATTTTAAAATCTAAATTGTTTTTGAAGTAGAAAAACAATCGTTCAGTTTGGTTTATAGATCATTTCCTGATTCCCATATTTTCTCAAACACCTGAACTGATGGTTTGTTATTTTCTGTCTTTTTCTGCCTCTGGAGGGTTAGAGCAGCGCTGGGATGAACCAGAACCAATCCCTGGTTCTGGTTCTGGTTCTACTTATTTTCATTCTCTAATAGAAACTCGCCACTGATGGATAAAAACTAAATTAGATGAAAATCTGAAAAAACAGTTCAATTAATTTTAGACCAGAACCTGCTGGGTCCTATTGGACCAGAACCTGGTAGGTCCTGTTGGACCAGAACCAGCGCATAAGTATTCACACCCTTAACTGCTGCAATGTTTGCTGAACTCTTTCTGCTTCTGTTCTGGGTCCAACAGAACCAACCGGTCTCTGCACATTTGGTTCTGGTCCAAGGAGAGGATTCTATATGCTGAGGATCTGCAGACCGGACCTGGACCCTTCAGGACCCGGACCTGTTAGGACCTGACCCGGTTCTTCCTTCATTTGGACTCCCTGTAGAGTCCAGTTTATCTTCCTTCCTCTAACCAACCCTGAAGGTTTGGGTCAGAACCAGCAGCTGGCTTCATGCCCTCAGCATGATGCTGCCACCTCCGTGTTTCATTGCTCTCCTTGGTTTTGGGGGGATTTCATAGTGAACGTTCACCAATAAGGTCTGAGAGCAGAACTCAGAGGTTCTGGGAGCACAGCAGCTAGAACCGCTCAGAACCAGAACCTCCTGCCTTCATGATGACTTCAGGTCTCATTTCCACAGAAATGAAAATGTTTTAAATCAAACAATGAAAGAAACGACGGATCCGTTCCAGGTTCCGGTTGATCCACAGACTTTATTATTAAAGGCAGCAGCTGGACCGGTTCTGAAGGATCTGGGTTCGGATCCGTCTACAGGGAGAAGCTGTTAGAACCCGGACCGGTTCTGGATGAACTGAAAGTTCCAGAAGCAGGAGGGAGGAAGGAGAAGATGGAGGCAGAGAGCGGGGTGGAGGTGCAGGGGAGCAGCAGGGAGGAGGTCAGGAGGTGCTGCTCCACCAGCCTCTGGGGGGCGCCACCATCTGGCAGCGCGCTCAGTCTGTACGGCGGCGCCGCCACCGCCCAGTGTGGGGGGAGGAGCCTCTGAGGCTGCAGGCGGTGGGAGGCGCAGGAGCTGAGGTGGGAGAGGAGGCGGCAGCGCAGCGGGTCAGAGGAGTCCAGGGCCTCCGCGGTGCTCAGGTAGCAGGAAACCTCCGCCACGCACTCCCTGAAACCCACAGACAGGAAGTCCATGGCCAGAGCGCGGGCGTCCAGGGGACCTGAGGAGCAGAAGCAGCTGATGTCACTTCCTGCCTCATAGGGAGGCGGCTCCCAGTGACCAGGTGGTTACCTTTCCCTCCCGCCGCCTGCAGCATCTTCAGATGGTCCACGGTCATCTGGAGGAGCTCCGCCTTCTCCAGTTTAGCAGAACCCTGCAGGAAGCAGCCGAGAACGCCGTTAATCACCTGCTGTCCGCCATCTTTAGTCGCCTCTCAGGAATGAATGCTAAACTCATCCTTCATCTCCTGCATTGGTCCTGGTTCTGATCCAACCTGAGGACCTTCAGCAGCTCTCTGCTGTCCACCCCCCCTCAGGTCAAAGTACCGCCTGTTTTTATGGGGTCAGTATTGGTTCTGGTTTGGTCAGGAGTCTGTACCAGTTCTGGTTCGGTCCCGGGTCGGTATCGGTTCTGGTTCGATCCCGG